AAACTATCACATAATTCACAATAAAATATTTTTAAAAATAAGAAAGTACACAGGCAGAGAATTACCAAAAATTCAAGCCAGATTCAAAGAAGGCCATGGAAGATACAATTGCTGATGTCAGGTGGATCTTGGCTGAAAGCAGAGACTACCAGAAGGATGTTTACTTGTGCTTTATTGACTATACAAAGACTTTTGACTGTGTGGACCATGACAAACTATGGATAACATTGCAAAGAATGGGTATTCCAGAACACTTAATTAAGCTCATGAGGAACCTGTACATAGACCAAAAGGTAGTTGTTAGAACAGTACAAGGGGATACTGGATTGTTTAAAATCTGGAAAGGTATGCACCAGGGTTGTATTCTTGCACCATATTTATTCAGTCTGTATGCTGAGCAAATAATCCAAAAAGCTGGATTGCATGAAGAATAACATGACATCAGGATTGGAGAAAGACTCACTAACAACCTGCGATATGCAGATGATAGAACCTTTCTTGCTGAAAGTAAAAAGGACTTAAAATACTTACTGATGAAGATCAAAGACCACAGCCTTCAGTATGTATTGTACCTCAATGTAAAGAAAACAAAATTCCTCACAACTGGACCAGTAAATAACATTACAATAAATGGTTAAAATATTGAAATTGTCAGACTTCATTTTGTTTGGATCCACAATCAACAGTCATGGAACAGCAGTCAAGAAATCAAATGATGTATTATTACATTCGGCAAATCTGCACAACACCTCTTTAAAGTATTCAAGAATAGAGTTAGCAGTGTGAGGCCTAAGGTCTGCCTGACCCAAGCCGTGGTATTTTCAATTGCCTGAAGATTGGGCAATGAATAAGACAGACTGTAGAAGAGTTGATGCGTTTGAATTATGAAGAAAAATATTAAAAATACCATGAACTGCCAGAAGAACAAACAAATCTGTGTTGGAAGAAAATACAACCAGAATTCTCCTTAAAAGTTACAAGACGAGACTTCATCTCTCATACTTCAGACATGTTATCAGGAGGAACAGGTCTTTGGAGAAGGACATCATGCTTAGCAATATGGAGAGTCTGCATAAAAGAGGAAGACCCCCAACGAGGTGGATTGGCCCAGTGGCAGCAGCAATGGGCTCAAGTGTAGCAATAATTGTGAGGATGGCGCAGGGCTGAGCAGTGCTTCATTCTTTTTTTAAGTTTTTATTGTGAATTAAGTGATTGTTTTTACATGGGAGAGCATCGGGTTTATACTCATCCTTTCATTGCAAGTTTCATTCTGTTTTGCATAAGGTTATTATGCATTCTAATCAACTAGATAGCACCTAAGAACAACAATAACACCCATATCAATAAAATATTTACCTATGCCTCTTTCAATTAAGGTTAGATGTTAAATCATTGCTTTATTAGAAAAGTAGCACATGCTCAGTAGAAGAATGAATTCAAAAGTGTATGAAATTGAAATAAATTTTCTTCCTTCTCCCATCCCACATCTCTCAATCACCTCCTCGTAAATATAACCACCAAACCACTCGTTGTTGAGTGGGCACCAACTCATGACAACCCAGGTAGGTCAAAGTAAACCTGTACTTTACTTTACGGAGGTTTTCAATAGCTGGTTTCTTTTTTTAGGAAATAGAACACCAGGTCTTTCTTTTGAGGTGCCTCTGGGTAGAATCAAACTGCCAACCTTCTGGCTAACAGATGAGCACACTAACCTTTTAGACTGAATTCCTAACTGCTCTTAACAGTTCAGTTCATATCCTTGTAGACTTTTTCTCTACTCAAATTGTATTTGTTTGTGTATGGCTCTTATTTCCAAGAAACATTTGAAAGTATACTTTATACTGCTCTGTAACTAAACATTTTCCTTCTTTATACCTGGGAATTCTGTTCAGTCAAGTCATGTTGATCCACCTTGTTCTCTTTTACAAGTACATAGTGCTTCATAGTATCGATATACTTCATAGTATTGATGTTACCCATTTAGGTTCTAATTTGCTTTTTAATTTTAACAGGATTATGGAAACTGAAGTCATTACAGAGTTTGGACCTGTCATGGAATGGGATATCACAAATTGGTTTGACTGACTTTCAGAACTGTCTACAACTAAAGCACCTCAATTTAAAGAGCAACAAGATTTTCAGAATTCACCCAGAAGCCTTCAGGAATCTCAAAAAATTACAGGTTCTAAAATAATTGTTATAATATTTCAAATACACAAACATATGAGCAACTGTATTATAAGAATATTTCTCCCAGAGAGTTTCTTTGCATCCAGTAGGACTGGATATGAGTAAACAAAGATGTGTAGTTTAAGATCCACTAAAAAAACCTGACAAGTCTTATATGGCACTGCAGGATAAGCACTGGACTGCTAACTGCAAGGTCAGTGGTTCAAACTCAGTGGCTACTCCTTGGAAACCCTATACAGACTTGCTATGATTTGGGATGGACTTAACAGCCACAACAACAAAAACTGAAGTCTCTTGCCTTAAAATCAAAGGCCCAATAATGGGCATGAGTGTTACTCAAACATGATATTCAGCTGTAAGAATTTATACATTCGTTTTCTAGGTTAAACTAAATCCAACTCCAACTTTCCACTTACTGTTGTTGTTAAGTGCAGGTGAGTAAGTTCCAATTCAGCAATTGGTTTCTGAGGGACATTTGGTGAGTTTGCTCTGCCAACCTTGTGGTTTAAAGTGACCTTGCAGTCCAGCGCAATATCTATCCCACAAAGCCTCACCAAGACTCCACTTACTAGGTAGCAAAAACGTCATATTAATTATTAGTGAGTTTCCCTTCCTAAAATGCAAATCTGCTGGGGCTCCCACACAATCTGGAACACGTGGGGAGGTTCCTCAGAACCACTCTGGCTGGTGTTGATATGTCAACAACCCAGAACTACATACATGGCTCTTTGAAAGAGGGGGACCCTGTTACTTCTATGCCCAAATTTGAGTAAGGGTGGTAGATGATCTGACAAATTTAGATAAAGTGCTATCTATACAAGCATATCTTCAAGACAAATCTCCAACCTCCCCTCAAGCAACATTTTTAGCCAAAATGTCAACCCTAAGTCCTTTCTCTATAGGAAGGGGTCTAATGAAGCTTTGCTGAGATGTGTAAACTCTATAGCCTCGTTGACACTCAGGTGCTGACATTGTTCAACCACACAGTCTTGGGGCAGTTTATCAGATTTCTCTGTGCCTCAGTTGTCTTGCCTGACTCCTGGTGTGTGCTGTAGGATCAGCACTAGATTGTGAACCATGAGGTTGGCCATTCAAACCCACCAGTTGCTCCTCAGAAACCCTATACAGGGTTGCTATGAGTTGGAATCAACTCAAGGACACTTAGCAACAATAATAACAAAGATGGAGAGAGCTTAGTTCCTTTCTCATAGAATTTTGTTAGAATTAAATGTTTTAACACATACACAGTGCTTAGAACACTACTTAGAATCTAGGAAGCTCTATATCAATGTGGCATAATGGTTAAATGTTTGGTTGCTAACCAAAAAGTTGGCTGTTTGAACTCATCCAGAGCCTCTGCAAGAGAAAGACCTAGTGAAATGGTTCTGTAAACATGACAAACTAAAAATCTATATGGAGCAATTCTAGTCTGTCACATGGGGTCACTATGAATCATAATAGGTTTGACATAATAACCTGATCTCTAGCATAGATATGCTCTACAGTGTAGAGATGCTAAAGCAAATGGAAGAAGTGAGGAGGTACAGAGCTGAATAGAAAATGTCAAAGGTCAGCTCGAGAAGACAAAGTCAAATATTATAATGAAATGTGCAAGTACCTGGAGTTAGAAAACCAAAGAGGAAGAACACACCCAGCATTTCTCACCTTGTGAAACTGAAAAAAAAAAAACTTCAAACCTTGACTTGCGGAATTGAAGGATTCTATCAGCAAATTATTAAGTGATGGAGAAAGCATCAAAAGAAGATGGAAGGAATACACAGAGTCACTGTGACCAAAAGAAATGGTCAATGTTCAACCATTTTAAGAGGTAGCATATGATCAAGAGCCAATGATCCTGAAGGAAGAAGGCCAAGGTGCATTGAAGTCATTGTCAAAGAACAAGGCACTGGGAATAGATGGAATACAAATTGAAAACTTTCAACAAATTCATGTAGCACAGGAGGCACTCACTCATTTATGCCAAGAAATTTGGAAGACAACTACCTGGCCAACTTACTGGAACTTGTTATTGCCCGTTCCAAAGAGAGGAGACCCAATGAAATGCTAAATCATTGGACAATATCATTGATACCCCATGTGAGTAAAGTTTTACTAAAGGTAATATAAAAATGACTGAAACCATACATTGACAGAGACCTTCCAGAGGTTCAAGCTGGATTCAGAAGAGGACGTGGAATGAGGAATATAATTGTTGACGTCAGATGGAACTTGGCTAAAAGCACAGAATACCAGAAAGATGCTTACCTGTGCTTTATTGGCTATGCAAAGGCTTTCGATTGTGTGGATCATGACAAGCTATGGACAGCATGGTGAAGTATGAGTATTCTGGACCACTTAATTGTACTCATGAGGAACCTGTATAGAGACCAAAGGCAGTTGTTTGAACAAAACAAGGAAATACTGAATGGTTTAAAATTGGAAAGGTGTGTGGCAGGGTTGTATTCTTTCACCATACTTATTCAATCTGTATGCTGAGCAAATAATCTGAGAAGTTAGATTATATGAAAGAAAAAAATGTGGCATCAGGACTGGAGAAAGACTCATTAACAACCTGTGATATGCAGATGATACAACCTTGCTTGTTGAAAGTGAAGAGGACTTAAAATACTTTTTGATGGATATCAAAGAGCACAGCCTTTGGTATGGGTTGCACCTCAAAGTAAAGATAACAAAAGTCTTCACCACTGGACCAATAAACAACATCCATATCAATGGAGAAAAGATTGAAGTTGTCAAAGACTTCTTTTTCTTGGATCAACCATCAACACTACGGAAGCAGCTGTCAAGAAATCAAATGACGTATTGCATTAGGCAAATTTGCTGCACAAGACCTTTTTAAAGTGTTGAAGAGCAAAGATGTCAGTTTGAGGACTAAGGTGCACCTGACCCAAGCCATGGTATTTTAAATAGCCTCATATGCATCTGAAAGCTGGAC